GTCTGCTGTGCTTGGTCTTGTGGCTGCTATCGAGACATCGCGTGCTGCCGAGGCGCGCGGAGCGACCCCGGCACAGGCTGCGGTCATTACGACTCGCGCAAATCCGTGCGATGGAGGGTGCGGACACGACCACGGTGGCGACTGCAGCTATCGAGGCTGGTATTGACGCCACTGCAGCAGAGGAGGTTGCATTTGCTGTTGTGGGAAAGACCGAGCTGGAGGCAGCTCGAGCCATGATGGCGCGCGTTGTTGGGACAGATGTGGCTGAAGCAGCGACGCTTGGTGAGCAGCTTGCCACAGTCGAGCAGATTGTGACCGAGCAGCTCGAGCCACAACGCGTGCGCCGTGCCGAGCTCATGGCAGCAGACAAGGGTTTTGCTGTGGAGCACGGCATGTCGCCCGATGAGGGGGCGATGTTTGCGGTTGCAGTAGCGTCGCTCGAGGGTGTGCCGAATGTAGCCAATGTGGCTGAAGCAGCTGTCGCGGCTGGTATGGACGCGTCCGGCGTAGAGGCGCTGGCGGCTGATGTGGTGGCTGTACGGGGTGCGAGCTCGCGTGGAGCGACGCCAGTACAGGCTGCGCTCATTGCGGCGCAAATCCGTGCGATGGAGGGTGCGGACACGACCACGGTGGCGACTGCAGCTATCGAGGCTGGTATTGACGCCACTGCAGCAGAGGAGGTTGCATTTGCTGTTGTGGGCAAGGCCGAGCTTGACGCCCTGAAGGCTGAGCTGGCCGAGGCGCAGGCTGAGATCGCGCGGCTGCTGCCTGCGTCGATGTCGTTTGTTGCCGCACCGACATCACTGCGCGATCAGGTCGTTACTCTCCGCGAGCACGTCGAGACAACTCTGCGGCCTCTCGAAGACAAGCGCATTGCGCGGCGTGAGGCCGATGCCCGCCTCTCTGTCGACACGGGTCTTGATGACTCGAGTGCCGCTGCTGTGGCAGACGCCCTGGCCACTCTGTCCGCGGACAAGCCATCAACCGCGGAGATTGCCGCAGCCGTCACAGGTGCTGGCGTGGAAGAGTCTGCTGTGCCTGGCCTGGTGGCTGCGATCAAGACATCGCGTGCTGCCGAGGCGCGCGGAGCAACGCCGGCACAGGCTGCACTCATTGCGACTCGTGCTGGTGCGATGGAGAGTGTGGACACGACCACGGTGGCGGCTACAGCTATTGAGGCTGGTATGGATGCTGCCGCAGCAGAGGAGGTGGCGTTTGCTGTTGTGGGCAAGGCCGAGCTTGACGCCCTGAAGGCTGATCTGGCCGAGGCGCAGGCTGAGATCGCGCGGCTGCTGCCTGCGTCGATGTCGGCTGGAACTACACCGACATCTCTCCGCGAGCAGGTCGTTGCTCTCCGCGAGCACGTAGGGACAACTCTGCGGCCTCTCGAAGACAAGCGCATTGCGCGGCGTGAGGCTGATGCCCGCCTCTCTGTCGACACGGGTCTGGATGACTCGAGTGCCGCTGCTGTGGCAGACGCCCTGGCCACTCTGTCCGCGGACAAGCCATCGAACGCGGAGATTGCCGCAGCCGTCACATGTGCTGGCGTGGAAGAGTCTGCTGTGCCTGGCCTGGTGGCTGCGATCAAGACATCGCGTGCTGCCGAGGCGCGCGGAGCAACGCCGGCACAGGCCGCGCTCATTACGACTCGTGCTTGTGCGATGGAGAGTGTGGACACGACCACGGTGACGGCTACAGCTATTGAGGCTGGTATGGACGCCACGGCAGCAGAGGAGGTTGCATTCGCTGTTGTGGGCAAGGCCGAGCATGGAGCCCTGAAGGCTGAGCTAGCCGAGGCACAGGCTGAGATCGCGCGGCTCCTGGGCAATGATGAAATGGCGCCTGTCGCCGCACCGACGTCACTCCGCGAGCAGGTCGTTGCACTCCGCGAGCACGTAGAGACAACTCTGCGGCCTCTTGAGGAGAAGCGCATTGCGCGGCGTGAGGCCGATGCCCGCCTCGCTGGCGACACAGGTCTGGATGACTCGAGTGCCGCTGCTGTGGCAGACGCCCTGGCCACTCTGTCCGCGGACCAACCGTCGAAGGCGGAGATTGCCGCAGCCGTCACAGCTGCTGGCGTGGAAGAGTCTGCTGTGCCTGGTCTCGTGTCTGCGATTGGGACATCGCGTGCTGCCGAGGCGCGTGGAGCAACACCGGCACAGGCTGCGGTCATTGCGACTCGTGCTGGTGTGATGGAGAGTGCGGACACAGCAATGGTGGCGGCTGCAGCTGTCGAGGCTGGTGTTGACGCCGGCGCAGCAGAGGAGGTTGCATTTGCTGTTGTCGGCAAGGCCGAGCTTGACGCCCTGAAGGCTGAGCTGGCCGAGGCACAGGCTGAGATCGCGCGGCTCCTGGGCAATGATGAAATGGCGCCTGTCGCCGCACCGACGTCACTCCGCGAACAGATCGTTGCACTCCGCGAGCACGTCGAGTCAACTCTGCGGCCTCTCGAAGACAAGCGCATTGCGCGGCGTGAGGCCGATGCCCGCCTCGCTGGCGACGCAGGCCTTGATGACTTGAGTGCCGCTGCTGTGGCAGACGCGCTGGCCACTCTGTCCGCGGACAAGCCATCAACCGCGGAGATTGCCGCAGCCGTCACAGCTGCTGGCGTGGAAGAGTCTGCTGTGCCTGGCCTGGTGGCTGCGATCGAGACATCGCGTGCTGTCGAGGCGCGCGGAGCGACCCCGGCACAGGCTGCGGTCATTACGACTCGCGCTTGTGCGATGGCGGGTGCGGACACGAGCACGGTGGCGGCTGCGGCTGTTGAGGCTGGTATGGACGCCGCTGCAGCAGAGGAGGTTGCATTCGCGGTCGCTGGAAAGACTGAGCATGAAGCCCTGAAGGCTGAGCTGGCCGAGGCGCAGGCTGAGATCGCGAGGCTGCTGGATGCGTCGACGCTTGCTGGTACGGAGTCGCTTATGGAACAGCTCGTGGCGCTTCGTGAGCGTGTTGAATCGACTGTGGTTCCACTGGAGGAGATACGCGCTGCCCGTCGGGACGCGGACACTCGCCTTGCTTGTGATTTGGGTTTGGACAAGGACAGCGCACATGCGCTTGCGGATGCGCTCGCAACAGACGAAGTTGTGCCGGCGAGATCTGCTGCTCAACTCTCGTTGGTCATCGAAGCTGTGGAACCCAACTGCGCTGATGTTGCTGAACTAGTGCGCGCCCTCGCTTGCTCGCGACTCGCCGAGTTCCACGGAGCTGGGCCGTCGCAGGCGGCACAAGTTGCGGCGGCTGCCCATGCGCTTGCTGCCGACTCTGCTGCCGGCACTGTTTCCGTGGCAGACATTTTCCGTGCGGGGGTGGCGGCAGGGATGCCTCCCGATCTCGCGCATTCGGTCGCTGTGGCTGTGGCAGAGAATATCGAGCTGGATGTTCTGCGGACGGGCAGGGCCGATCCGACAAGTGTCGCCAACGCTCGGCTTGCTGCTCTTGCGGGACTGGCCTGTCTTAGCGGGTTGGATGACGCCAGTGCTGATGCGCTCGCCGAAGAGCTTGTTGCGTTGGGAGACGGAATGACGCTAGCTGATGCTGAGAATGCGTTGGCAGGTGGGTCAGTGGCCGACGCGGCGGATGTAGCGCGCCGGCTGATGCTCGCCAACGAGGCGGTCATCCATGGCCTTTCGCCCGAGTCTGCCATTCACGTTGCGCGTTTGATGAATGGAAGTTTGTCAATCGCTGACGTGGCGAGTATGTTTGCTGGCGAGCCAATAGCTGCAGGCTGCGTCGCGCACGCACTTGTCGCCCGAGCGCACACATCGCATCTGGAGGCCGAAAATGCTGCAGTCCGTGATGCCATCTCGCAGCTTACTGGAAACTCCGACTCGGACTCGCTCACCGATGATCTGATGGACTTTAGTGCGTTTCTGGCCTCGTCACTCCGTCAACAAACGGAGCAGGACATGCACCGGCGTGTGGCAGATGCAAGACTCGCCGAAACATTTGGCCTGTCGTCGCCACAAGCGGCAGATTTTGCCGAACGCCTCGCCGATGGGCCGGCCATGCCGCCTGTGATAGAGACGGCGGCGCTCGTGCACGAAGACATGGGGCTGCCACGAATTGCTGCTGTTCAACTGGCACGCACGGTGGCTGTGGCACGCGAGGCCGAAGCGTTTGGTCTTGAACCCGAGACAGCCGCCGCCTTTGCGCTTGCTGTCAAGGAGTTTGGCCCCGGTCACGCACCGTCAATTGCGGCTGTTGCGGAGCGGGAACCATTTGGAGTTCCAAGCGAAACAGCTCGTGTCCTGGCCAACGTGGTCGCCGTTCTTAAGGGCGGCGACGTGTTTGCACCTGGCCTGGTCGATTCTCTGCGGCGGCAGGTTGATGAGCTGGAGATGGAGCTCAATGATCTGACGGACCGCTCGATGGAGGCACTTTCGGCCTCGCAAACGCTGGACGAGCAAGTGACAATGTTCAAGGATTCTGCTGCCTTCCGAAGCATGCAAACCCTGCGCGAGGCGGTACAGGCTGTCGCAACTGAGATGGGGCTGCCCGCTGATGAGGTGCCAGTGATGGCCACGCGGGTGGCTCGAAGTGTGGATCCGGTCAGTGCCACCTCGGAGAGGGTGGCTGATGTGGCCGCAACTTGCGCGCTTGATGAAGAGACTGCAGCCGAACTGGGGCGCCGGGTCATGCTAGCGGTTCCAGCCCTCACCCATGGGCTCCCCGCCCACTCGGCAGCCGTCTTTGCTCGCCAGGCGTCGGAGAACTCGCTCGTGTCGCCAGAAGATGTTGCTGCTGTGGCCGAGGCCTCTGGGTTAGAGCCAGCAGCGGCAAACTCGTTGGCGTACTCGCTGGTGGGCGGCAAGGAGATCATCCGGCTGCGGACCGAGCTGGATGCTGCACAGCGCAAGCTGCTTGTCCTTGCCGCCGAGCCGAGTGCCGGCGGAAGCAAGATTGCCCTCGAGCGGACAGTCCAGCTGATGGAGGCGCAGGCGGCGATGGAGACCGTTGAGGTCAACACGCGCCAGCTCCGCGAGTCGCTGCTTGCGGCACTGCAGGAGACGCCCGAGTTGCCTGAGGCTGCCCAAGCCCTGCTGCTGTCGACAGCTGACGCGCTGGCGCACGCCATGGACAACCTCGCACACCATATTCCCGGCCAAAGCAATAGTAGCGGCGACGAGTTGGCGCCCCGACCGCCGCTGCCCAAGTCGCTCTCGCGAGCGCATCTGCAGATTACGGACGCTCTTAAGGACGCGTCGCTGTCGCCGGGCGTGGGAAAGGTGCTCATTACGGTGGCCGAGGCTCTGAACGACGCGCTGGCATCGACAGCGGTGGCGGCGCGGGCGGCGCCGCTGTCGTTGCAGCCGACGCTGACCGTGACCGGGGCCGAGGAGGAGACACCGATGACACGGTTGCAGAGCACACTGCTGAGCACAGCCCGTGTTCTTGCGTTGACACTAGACAACGTGGAGCGCGAGGGCGATGCGACCTCGCTGGACGACCTTGTGCTCCAGAACCGGGCGACGCTTATTGACCTCGATGGCGTCATTGATGCCATCCGCCGGTTGGCTGCGGCCTGTACCCGGTTTGAGGAGCAATTAACCGCACCGGGGGCGCGGGTGACATTACATGCCCTCGAAGGGGTGGTTCCCGAGCTGGCGGATCGGTGTTTGGTTGTCTCGCATGCAGTGGAGACCTCGATCGGTCAGCTGTCGGCACTGGCGGACATCGTGCCGCAGCTGGAGTAGTATTCAAGGTTATAAAGCTCAGAAGAGTGGCAGTGTGTAACGTACTGGCCGTGCGCACTAGCGGCCATGCTAGGTTGTGGGCTGGGCTGGCGGGCAACAAAAGGCGAGTGTGTAATGCAATCGCGGTCTCGTGTCGCACAACCGCGCATGTGCGTGGCGGCGTGCACACGGCCACCGTGTGGTGAGAGTTCGAACCGCCGGTCCGGCAGTATCATGCGCATGCTCAAACACGCACGACAATACTCGGGGCATACGGGAACTCGTGGCTGTCGCATCCTGCTCGCTACGCCAGAGCGACTCGGGAAAGCTCGGATGGGAACACGTGGTCAGACGCAGCAAAGGCGCTGATTGTCACGGCCATCGTCATGGACGAGTCAACAGTGTGCCGGTGCCAAGAGGCAGAGCGGCGAGCACAGCAGGACGGGAGCAGCAGTATGGGATCACCGGGGTGGGACGTGGGCCCGCCGAGCGCAGGGCGTGGGCGGCGACGATGGACGAGAGGTGCGGCGACGGGCGCGCTTACTTGAGCAGGGCCTCGATATCGGCGGCAATGTCCGACGGGAGGGTATCCGGCGAGTAGACCGAGACCGGACGGCCAGTGTCTGGGTGAATGAGGTACTTTTGGAAGTTCCAGGTGATGTCGGTCGGACGGATGGGGGCCCAAGAAATGTACGCGGTCGACGGCTCGAGAATGGGCATCGGCTGCGGGCAGGCGCCAGTGAGGTATGCATACACTGGCGAGCGCGAGGCACCGTTGACGTCCGACTTTGCCATGAGCGGGAAGTTTGCAACAAAGCCACCGCCCGGCCGGACGTACTTGAGCCCGTCGAGGATCTGCTGCGAGGTAAACTCGGGCTGCTGGTTGTCAAACTGGGCGCAGGGGAAGCCGATGACAGTGAAGCCGCGGTTAGCGTACTTTGTCATGAGGGAGTTGAGAGCATTGTAGTTGGGGATGGTGAGACCTCAGTACGAGGCGACGTTGACGGCGAGGACAACCTTTCCCTTGAGCTGGGAAAAGTCGTACGTGTTGCCATGGATGTCGGTCGACGAGTACGAGAAGAAGTCGCCTGTGGTATTGATGTCGATGCCCGTGACCGTGTCCATCCCAGTATCCGTGTTGATGTCGATGCCCGTGACCATGTCCATCCCAGTATCCGTGTTGATGGCGATGCCCGTGACCATGTCCATCCCAGTATCCGTGTTGATGGCGATGCCCGTGACCGTGTCATCATTGATGCCATGCCAGTCCGCGCCATTCCATCCCGTGCCACCAGTCCCCGTGAGTCCCCCCCCCCCTCCTCCCCTGCCCCTGTGACTCTCCCCACTGGTCCCCTCCAAGCGTACCAGTCTGCGGAGTGCAGGACGCGTTGTATGCCTGGGCAGAGGCCATGGCCACAACCACGGCAAGCACCGCAAGGGTACCCTGCTGTAGCATGGTGATGGGGGGTAGTTGGGAGTGCTGTGTGGACGGCGTGGTCGTGCCGCTGCTGCTGTCGCATTGGCCTTCCTCCAGCGGTGGCGCGGGGGGGGGCAGTCATAGGTGCGGGGGGGGGGGGGGGGGGGGGGTATGGTCATCGATGGCCATCGATACCCCCCTCACCTCCTCACACACAGTAAATATGTGTGTATACTCGATCTTCGCTATGTGCCATCGTCCCGATCCGCCGCTTCCTGTTCCGCCGCTTCATCCCGCTCATGCTCCGCATACCCCCGCCACATGCCAGCGCTGGCCGGCCACGGAGCACCGTTGCTCCGCCACCTCCAACGATTAATTCATTGATTGCTCAATAAAAAGCATGGCTGACGAGAGAGGAAGAATGCGGTGGTGGAGGGAGAGAGAGAGGAGAGAGAGAGAGAGGGAGGAAAGGGAGAGGGACCAACCACCTGCAGAAGGCAGCACAACATGGTGGCCAAGGCAGCCACCACCCCACCCACCGCACACACGCCACCAACACACACACACACACACACACACACACACACACACACACACACACACACATACATATACACACACATATACATACATACATACGCACACGTACGTACGCACACTGTCACCAACCCCTCCCTCCCCCTCCCTCCTCCCCCTCCTCCCCCGCCACACGTGACGCGCACCCCCACCAACACACACACACTCACCCCCCCTCACCCCCTTACCCCCCCCCCCCCCCCCCCCCGCCCCCGCCCGCCCTCACACCATCTCCCATCCCATATCCCATACAGTGGCGTGCCTCCGCCCGCTGGCCACCAAGATCGGAAGAATGGCCCACATCGCGCGCCCCGAGCGGCGCCGGATCTTGCGAACACCTGCGGCTCGGTTCGCGAGCATCCCGGACTTTCCCTATGATCCCCACTACCTGGAAATCAACGGGGTGCGGGTGCACTATGTCGATGTGGGCGCGGGTGCCGGGACGACGGCCGAAAACCCGCCATCGCCGCAAGATGCGCCCAGGGAGACCGTGCTGTGTGTCCACGGCGAGCCGAGCTGGGCCTACGTCTACCGCAAGGTCATCGCAGCGCTGGCGGCCGAGCGGCCGCAGTGGCGGGTGGTGGCTCCGGACTTTATCGGCTTTGGCAAAAGCGACAAGTTTGCTGCGCCATCGATGTACACTCACGAGCTGCATCGGGCGACACTGATCGCAGTCATCGAGGCCCTGGATTTGCGCAACATTACGCTGGTCGTCCAGGACTGGGGCGGACTCACCGGGCTCTCGGTGGTCAAGGACGTGCCGGAGCGGATTGCCCGACTCGTGGTGATGAACACTGGACTCCCACCGGCCGGACGGGTATCGTGGCGAAGCTCGCTCAATTTTGCGTGCTGGCGCGCGTTTGTGGCCGCAGTCGACACGGCGCTTCCCATCGGCGCAGTCATGCGCTCTGCGCTCCGCAACGCGTCTGACGCCGAGATCTGCGCCTATGAGGCGCCTTTCCACGAGCCGGATGCGAAGGCCGGCGCCGTCGCGTGGCCGGCACTTGTTCCGCTCTCGGCCAGCTCGCCGGTGGCGGCTGACATGGCGGCGACGCGTGCCTTTCTCCGCGAGTGGACCAAGCCTGCGCTCGTCATGTTCTCCGACAAGTGCCCGGTCACCCGCGACCTCCCCGGCTTCTTCGCCCGGCTTGTCCCCGGTGCGCGGTCGCGGTATGTGGTGCTTGTGGGCGCTGGCCACTTTCTGCAGGACGACGCCGGCGAGGCTGTTGCTGACCACATCATGGACTTTGCGACGCGCGACAACGCGTGTGAACGACCGTACCGTTAAGGGTTAGCAAACAAAGTGAACAACTCTATGGTGCTTGACTTCCAGGTCACCGGCCGACGCTGCGCGACGCCTGCTTGGCCTGCGGCTTGAGGTGGGAGGCGCGCCCGATGCGTGGCTCGCACGTGAGGCCTACCGCCCGACGCTCGTCCCGGCGACGCCCTCGTGTGCAACGTGGGCGACGACCTCGCTGTTGTCGCGTGGAAGGACTCGATCGAGTGCTGTTTCTGGCAACCTGCGTAAGCGATCGCGGCCGCGGACTTTGCGCCGCGTGTGGCGTCCATCTCTGCATCGCCGACTGTTTTCTGTCGTGGCAGCCAATAACACATTGTACTACTCTTTTACAACAATCCATGGGCGTTGCTACGTCTGCGAAGCGTCGCGGAGCGCGCGGCTTGCGCGATGGACAAATTGTCCATTCCACCGTAAAGGACTATACGCTGCCGCACAGCTACTCGGCCGGCGTCGGCTTGGTCATCAGGACCGGGTTGACCCAGGCGTCAAACTGGTCGGCGGTGAGGTAGCCGAGCTCGACGGCGGCTTCCTTAAGCGAGATGCCGTCGGCGGCAGCCTTCTTGGCCGTCTTGCCGGCGTTGTCGTACCCAATGTGGTTGTTGAGAGCAGTGACAAGCATCAGCGACTGCGAGACGTTGTGGGCGAGGCGCTCGTGGTTCGGCTCAATACCGACGAGGCACTTGTCGGTGAACGAGCGGATGACGTCGGCGAGGAGGCAGATGGACGAGAGCACGTTGGCACCGATGAGCGGCTTGAAGACGTTGAGCTCAAAGTGGCCGTTGGAGCCACCGACAGTCACCGCCACATGATTGCCCATCACCTGGGCGGCCACCATGGTCAGCGCCTCGCACTGGGTCGGGTTGGCCTTGGCCGGCATGACAGACGAGCCCGGCTCGTTGTTGGGGATGACGAGCTCGGCAATGCCGCACCGCGGGCCCGAGCCAAGGAACCGGATGTCGTTGCCGATCTTCATGGCCGAGACGGCAAGCGTGTTGAGCGCACCCGAGACCTCAACCATGGCGTCGTGGGCGGCAAGAGCCTCGAACTTGTTCGGCGCGGTCTGGAACGGGAGCCCCGTGAGCTCGGCAATCTCGGCAGCAACTTCGACGTCAAAGCCCTCGGTGGTGTTGAGCCCGGTTCCGACCGCCGTCCCGCCCTGCGCCAGGTACATCAGCCGCGGGTGCATGGCGACGGTGACTCGGGCAATCGCGTTGCGGACCTGGACGGCGTAGCCCGAAAACTCCTGCCCCAGTGTCAGAGGCGTGGCATCCATGGTGTGGGTCCGCCCGATCTTGACAATGTTGCTCCAGGCCTCGGCCTTGGCCTCGAGCTCGGCAGCTAGCTTCTCGAGAGCCGGCAGGAGCTTTGCGTCGAGGGCGCGGGCGGCAGCAACGTGCATGGCGGTGGGGAACGAGTCGTTGGACGACTGCGCCTTGTTGACGTGGTCGTTGGGGTGGACCGGCGTCTTGGAGCCGCGCTCGCCGCCGAGGATCTCGATGGCGCGATTGGAGATGACCTCGTTGACGTTCATGTTCGACTGAGTGCCAGAGCCCGTCTGGAAGATGGCCAGCGGAAAGTGGTCGGCGAGCGTGCCATCGATGATCTCGTCAGCAGCAGCCTCGATGGCCTTGCCCACCTCCTCGCTCAGCCTGCCGTGGCGGGCGTGAACCCTCGCGGCAGCCTTCTTCACAAATGCCAGGCCCTGAACAAGCTCAAACGGCATGGCATGGCGCGGAAGATCGATGTCAAAGTTGCCCAGCGACCGCTGAGTCTGTGCGCCCCAGTATGCCCACGACGGCACTTTGACCTCTCCCAGCGAGTCCGTCTCCACACGAACAGCTCCCGACCCAGCCTCGGCCTCGGTCCCTGGCAGCGGCTTGGTCGACGCCACGGGCAGGCTTCCAAAGAACTCAGCGGCAGAGGCAGACATCCTACGTGTAAACAGGAGATGAGTGGAGCTGGTGATAGTGTGGCAGTGGGAGGAGGAGGAGGAGGGGCCGTGGCAGCATGTCATTCGCTCGCGACCTGTCCCGACCTGACCCAAGGCAGGCAGGGGCCGGGGATGGGGGTGGGGATGGGGGTGGGGGTGCGTACAGTGTGCGGGTGAGGATGATAAGAGAAGGGCGGGAGGTCCGGAGAGTGTGAATGGCAGTCTGACTGGCGCTCCACATGTAGTAAGGTGGTGACGATGGGCTGTGTGGGCAGAGGGACGGTGTGGTGGAAGTATGTGCCACGGGCGGAAGGCGGACGGTAGGCAGCGATGGCGACAAAGGGATGTGGCTGTTATTGGTTTGGTCTGCTTCCGTCGACAAAGCAAAGGGAAAAGACCGAGGGCACGGTGCGGCCGAGGACGTGCGGGTCGGCGTCGGGGACGACGATGGCGTAGGCAATCTCCTCGATCGAGTTGAGGACGTCACGGTCGGCGATGGCGCGAGCAGCCGGCGAGGCGGCAGACGCGGGCGGCAGCGCGCGGAGGATGTCGTCTTTGGCCAGGTACTCGATTTCCGACGTTTCCGGGTCAGGATAGTAAAAGATCTCGTGAGCACGGCCGGCGGTTGTGCGCGGGCCGTGGAGGATGTGGCGAGCGATAGCGGCAGTCTGGATGAGGCGCGGGTGCCACTTGGCGTAGGTGAGGTCTCGCGGGCGGGTGAGACCAAGCGGCGCCAGCGCGGCGTCGACCCAGGCGGCAAAGAGAGACTCTAGCTCGTGGCGCGCGTCGAGGTCTGTGGGGAGGACGGCGAGCTCGATGAGCCGCTCGATCCCCGGGGCGGCGAGCATGGCGGCGGTTGTTGATGAAGCCTCGCTGCACACGCGCTTGACGCCGGCGTGCTTGGGCGAAGAGTCAAAAAGCGCGGCGTAGCGGGAGGGGTAGAGCGAGGCAAGGAGCGAGGCAGCGGATGCAGGGTCACCGGTGTAGAGGCCGGCGTGAATGGCCGAGTAGAGCGAGGCAAGAACGACGCGGGCCTCGACCGAATCGAGCCACTCCATCTCGAGCGGGAGTGGTAATCGGCGGGAGATCCACATCAGCTGCATGGCCCATGAGTTGCACCAAAAGTTGACCGAGATTGACGGAGTGTCGGCGACGACGTGGTGGAACCAGTACGCCGGCATGAGGAGCAGATCGCCCGGTTCGAGCGGGGCGCGGAAGGTAAAGGCCGAGGCCGGCAGCTCCTCGTCGGAGATGGAGCGATACGACTCGTGAAGGCGCGGGAAGAGTGGAAAGTCGGCGGTGGGCGGAGCAAGGTAAAAGGTCTTGCGGCCGTACATCTGGGCGTAGATGTTGGTTGAGCCGTCGTAGTGGCCGTGCGAGGTCACGTTGGCGGTGCCCATCCAGAGGTTAGCCGAGATCTCGCGGTCGCCCTCGCAAAGGCCCGGCGAGACCGGTGCCGAGCCGAGGACGTCATAGTATGGGGTAATGGCGTCAATAAGGCCCTTGACATAGGTGACGGTGGCCGAGTCGAGCGAGCCGCCGGCAAAGGCCACGTCCGGGTCAAGCTGGAGCGGGCCGGAGAAGAAGCGGTGCGGCGCGCCCGGAAGCGGGCTGCCGGCCTCTTCGGCGCGCATCTGGGCCACCAGCTCGGCGGCGGGAAAGAGAAAGTTTTGCACAGTGGCGATCGAGGTACGCCAGTGCGGCGAGCCGAGCAGCGGCTTGTCGCCGTTGCGGTAGAGGAAGACGGACGAGTCCGCCTTGTCGTAAACCTGCGGCAGCTCCGGAATGAGGCGGGCGATGGTCTCAGGACTCCACTCGCGCGGCGCTGACCAATCGGCCTCCATAAGCGGGTGCCCGCGGACGATGATTGGCTCTGCCAGGGCGAGGACGAGATCGGAGAGCTTGGTAGCAATGGCGGCAGCGTCGGGTCGTGCGCCTCCGGGCCAGGGCGCGCAAAGCGGATGATGAGCAAACTCCGCATCGTCTTCACTCAGCACATCGGCCAGCTCGGGCGCCCACCATGCCCGCGGATTGTCTGCCCACGGCGCAGATGCGTTGGCCAGCGGCAGATCGTCTACCGCCAGCGGCCAGGTCAGGATCTTGACCGACGGCGGGAGGCCGGTCGTCTCAGAGCCAAACGGGTAGCCACGGTCAGCAGCTGCTAGAGCAGGCGCCATGGCGAGGACAATAGCCATGGCCATGGCAATAGCCAGGGCTACGGTCGAGGCGGACGACTGAAAC